AGAGAGAGAGAGAGAGAGAGAGAGAGAGAGAGAGAGAGAGATGAAATTAGTACCACTGAGCGAATGAAACCTTCGAATATGGCCACTTGTCTAGCAGACAAACCCTGATATAGAACAGATTCAGCTTCCAAACTGAAAAACCCAACAGTTCCAAACAACACAAAGAGAGAGAAAACTCAGAAAAAGGAACAATTTTTAAGCAATTAAAACAAGTATAAACAGAAAACAAAAGAGATCAAAGAAAAAGAAACAAAACCCATTAAGAAAAATTGGGTGTGTTCTTGAGCTGGATTGAGTATCTTCAAACTCATCGACATCCCAAACCGGCCCCTTGTCTTTTACAGCTTGAGTATCCATTTTATATAAACCTAACCACCCTTGGCTCTTGTGGCTCAAACAAATGATACTCAAAGGAAGATGCGTGGGTAGCTTCTGCGCTATTGGGTGGTATTATTTATATATGATATTTGGAAGACTCTAGGCCATGTCTTTGTCCTCCTTCATTTCTATACAAATACAAGGAAGTTTCATGGCAGACAGATATTTTGACCAAGATTAGGGTTTTGGAATTCTCGAGTAATTTCATTCCATAAAATTTGGGTTAATTTACGTTCAAAAGTTGTTCATGACATATGCCTAGCCATGATATCTTTTCTTTCAAGATTAGTGGTGGGTTGCTTTCAATACTTATTTAAATAACACAATTATCCACGTATATCACGTAACCTCGTTATTTCTGATTATTTTAAGCCCACCGCTAGTAGATATTGTCTGTTTTGACCCGTTATGTATCGCCATTAACTTTAGAGTTTTTAAAATGCGTCTGTTGGGTATAGATTTCCACACCCTTATCAGGAATGTTTTGTTTTCCTCTCTAACTGACGTGGAATTTCACAATCTGATGTCTAGCTCTAGTCCATTGCTGGTAGATATTGTCCGCTTTGGCCAGTTACATATCGTCGTTAGCTTCAGAGTTTTTAAAATGCGCTTGTTAGGTAGAGATTTCTACACCCTTATAAAGAATGTTTAGTTCCCCTCTCTAACCGATGTGGAATTTCACAATCTGATGTCTAGCTCTGATTCCATTTGTAAAAACTCGAGCCCACCGCTAGCAGATTTTATCCATTTTGGCCCGTTACGTATCATAGTCAGCCTCACGGTTTTTAAAATGCGTCTAGTAGGGAGAGCTTTCCACACTCTTATAAGGAATGTTTCATTCCCCGTTTCCAACCGATGTAAGATCTCACAATCCACACCCCTTGGTGGCTAGCGGCTTCGTTCCCCTCTCCGACCAATGTGGGATCTCACAATCCACCCATCTCCAACTTGGTGTTGGGCTCTATTACCATTTGTAACAGCCCAAGTCCACTGTGGGTAAATATTGTCCGTTTTTGCTCGTTACATATCGTCATTAGCTTTAGAGTTTTTAAAATGCATCTGTTAGGTAGAGATTTCTACACCCTTATAAGAAATGTTTCGTTTCCCTCTCTAACCGACGGATTTCACAATCTGATGTCTAGCTCTAATTCCATTTATAACAACTTGAGCTCACCGCTAGCAAATATTGTCTATTTTGGCCCGTCACGTATCATAGACAGCCTCACGATTTTTAAAACGCATTTACTAAGGAGAGGTTTCCACATCTTTATAAGGAATGTTTCGTTCCCCTCTCCATCCGATGTGGGATCTTACAATCCATCCCCTTGGGGGCTAGCGGTTTCGTTCCCCTCTCCAACCAATGTGGGATCTCACAATCCACCCATCTCCAACTTAGTGTTGGGCTCTATTACCATTTGTAACAGCCCAAGTCTACCGTGGGTAGATATTGTCTGTTTTGGCCTATTACGTATCGTCGTTAGCTTCAGAGTTTAAAAAATGCTTCTGTTAGGTAGAGATTTCTACACCCTTATAAGGAATGTTTCATTCCCCTCTCTAACCGACGTGGGATTTCACAATCTGATGTCTAGCTTTGATTCCATTTGTAACAACTCGAGCTCACCGTAGCAAATATTGTCTATTTTGACCCATTACGTATCATAGACAGCCTCACGATTTTTAAAACATGTCTTCTCGGGAGAGGTTTCTCCAGTTTTATAAGGAATATTTCGTCCTCTCTCCAACCAATGTGGGATCTCATAATCCACCCTCCTTGGGGGCTAGTGGCTTCATTCCACTCTCCAACCAATGTGGGATCTTATAATCCACCCCTCTCCAACTTGGTGTTGGGCTTTATTACCATTTGTAACAGTCCAAGTCCACCGCTGGTAGATATTGTCCGCTTTGGCCCCTTATCACCGTCAATCTCACGGTTTTTAAAATGCGTCTGCTAAGGAGAGGACCGTCAGTCTCATAAAAGTTTAAGTATCTATTGAAATTTTTAATAATATATCTTAAGTTCAAAGACCAAAGTGTTCATGTACAGACACGTGAATATGAGTCTTATGTAATGAATTTGTATTCTTTTTAACCACGAAATACATTATTTCACTTTAACAATATTTTACAGGATGCATATATATGACTCGATCTTATGATTAGAGATTCAAACGACGCTTGATCATACGTTGTTACACTAAAATATATACGACTCGATCATATGATTAGAGATTCAATCAACATTTCTCGTGTAGATTTTCTGTAGTCAATTGTCGCTATATTAGATCCTAAATTGAGTTTACGCTGACCTTCTTCTACCGCTGCAGATTCTACTATAATGAACATTACAGATAATGACCCTCAAACTCATGCTACAAATGAAACCTCTCCCTAGTAGACGCATAAACTTCTTCTACCTTGAGAAAAAGCTCGGGAGGGAAACCCCAAAGAGGATAGTATCTAGATGAGTACCGGTTCCGCTGCATAACTCTGAAAGACACGTTTTAAGACTGTGAGGTTGATGACGATGCATAATGAGCAAAAGCGGATAATATCTGTTAACGGTGTACTTCGGTTGTTACATTCTCCCTAAATTATTACATTAAATCTTGAGAAGTACCCGTTAATTACAATTCGTATTATACAATCTTTTTAAATCAAGAATTATATTCTATCCATGTTTGTAGTTTGAATGACCAAACGTGTGATGTCTCACGTTAGCCGGGAGGAGAACAAAACACCATTTATAAGGGTGTAAAAACCTTCCCCTAGCGTTTTAAAGCCTTAGCCCACAACAAAACACCGTTTATAAGGGTGTAGAAACCTTCCGCTCGCATAAAATATTTAAATAAACACATAAAATATTGAATTGTATATAATAATATATATATATATTAAATACATGATTGACTTTCGGTTATTTTATTTTATTTTATTTATAAATATTTTAATTAATTTATTTGGGATTATTAAATTAATTTCTGTTAAATCAAGAGACGTCAGCATGTCTGAAAGAACCCCAGTTTAGGTTTGTCTGTCCATTTAAAATATTAAATACTTTCTTATAATTTAATTTTTTTAAAAAAATTAGATTAATTTAATTTTTTACCTTCATTTTCGGTAGCTTAATGACACAATATTTACCACTTAAAACAACGGTAAATAGATCTGAAAATATTATTACTGAACGAAACAATACAGAGTTAAGAATGAACCTTCATTGATAATAAAATAAAATATACTACTAATCAAATAATAAAGAAAAAATATTAACTGACTACGAATATCTAAGATATATTCCATAACTAATACATTCTAGCGATAAGTTGCACCTAATTCCAACACGTAATTATAGGAATTCTATAGTTAAACGTGTTTACAATTATATATTGGGTGATCTTTTCGTAATTTTCCTATAATATATGTGAGTGAAGTCAAAACATGCTAGACGGACTCGTATTGGTCTGTAGGGATAGTCTTCGCTCTTAAGAAGTAAGAAGTAGGTAACTTGATCTGTCGTAGGTGATACCGGAAGAACGTTGAGGCCACGAGGTACTGAATTTGGATCCCGAATTATGGGCATGGATCGTTACAGAACGTGTGTACGATTATGAAATATTTAATAAAGAAACATTAATATTATATATATTTTAAGTTAAATTTTATCAAAATGAACCCTATATTTAAATTTAAAAAACTATTTAAGTTGGATTAAATATTATTTTATTTTAGATTAAATAAATAAATTCAATTTTAAGATTGGATTTGCATATATTTATAATTTATCAATATTAAATAATAAAATTATTAAAAAAGAAAGTCTCTAGAAAATCAATCCCCATCAATTATAAATATATATATATATATATATATATATATATATATATATATATATATATATATATATATAAACTTTAACTCTTTAATTTTGAAAAATGGTGATGGTTTTCTTTAAAAAAAAAAAGAAAAGGTTGCTTAAACGGATCACAAAATAAAGTTCGTTCACCAAACAATTTTCAAATAATAATAATAAAATAAAGAATCCATCATTTTCAAGATGTTCGAGACGATGATCTCATATAGGGGTGTACATTCAACCCGACAACCCGATGACTCAGACCAACCCAACCCGAACTATAAGGGTTGGGTTGGGTCTATTTTTCTGAACCCGAATGGAGTCGGTTTCAGGTTTATGGGCAAAACCTTCGGGTTGACCTGAGCTAAATAAAAATATATTAAATGTATTAAGACTCACGCGGTCAGGTTCGACGTCAAGCAAATACAATTTTTTTTTTTAATTTGCAATTCATTAATACTATTTTTTAATAACTATTCACAAATTTTATACTATTTTTAAATATAATGTTTATTTCCTAATACAAAAGTTTATTAATTATGACTACATTTAAGTATGCAATATACAATGTTCATAAATTATTTATATATATATATATATATATATATATATATATATATATATATATATATATATATATATATATATATATAATTTTAAAACATGTATTTATTATTTATTTGGGTAACATTACATATCACAACTTAA